CTACTACTACTACCACTACCACTACTACCACTACTACCACTACTACTACCACTACTACTACCACCACTACTACTACCACTACTACTACCACTACTACTACTACTACTACTACTACTACTACCACTACTACTACCACTACTACTACTACTACCACCACTACCACCACTACCACCACCACTACCACTACCACCACTACCACCACTACCACCACTACCACCACCACTACCACTACCACCACTACCACCACTACTACCACCACTACTACCACTACTACCACTACCACTACTACCACTACCACTACTACCACTACCACTACTACCACTACCACTACTACCACTACCACTACTACCACTACCACTACCACTACTACCACTACCACTACCACTACCACTACCACTACCACTACCACTACCACTACCACTACCACTACCACTACCACTACCACTACCACTACCACTACCACTACCACTACCACTACCACTACCACTACCACTACCACTACCACTACCACTACCACTACCACTACCACTACCACTACTACCACTACTACTACTACCACTACTACCACCACCACTACTACCACCACCACTACTACCACCACCACTACTACCACCACCACTACTACCACCACCACTACTACCACCACCACTACTACCACCACCACTACTACTACCACTACTACTACTACTACTACTACTACTACCACCTACTACTACTACTACTACTACTACTACTACTACTACTACTACTAGAGTAGAGCAGCTTGAGGCAGAAAACGGAACAAATTTCACTATTACTACTACTACTACTACTACTACTACTACTGCTGCTACTACTACTACTACTACTACTACTACTACTACTACTACTACTACTATTACTGCATTATTATTATAATAATTAAATATTATTATTATTATTATTACAATTAAATATTATTATTAAATATTAATTATTATTATAATAATTATCAAATATTATTTAATTATTATTATTAAAAATTAAAAATTAAAAATTATTATTATTATTATTATTTATATTAAAAATTAAAAATTAAAAATTATTATCATCTTTAAATATTAGTTATTATCTTTAAATATTAATTTTTATTATAAAAAATCAGTTGTTATAATCATTATTAATAATATTATTAATAATGAGTATTATTATTACTATTATTATAATTATTTTTTTTTGAGAAAATATTTTAACATTATTATTATTATTAAATATTAAATATTAATTATTATTATTATTATTATTATTTACATAATAATTATTAAATATTATAAATTATTTATTATTATTAAATATTTATTATTATTATTATTATTCAATATTAATTAATATTTTAATTATTAAATATTATTTATTATTATTAAATATTAATTTTTAACAATAATATTATTAAATATTAATTAATTATTATATTTATTATTAAATATTAATTTTTTAATAATAATAATAATATTATTATTAAATATTAAATATTAAATATTGTTAATTTTATAATAATTCAATATATTAATTATTATTATTATTATAATAATCCAATATTAAGTGTTATTTTTAAGTAGAGTAAAACAAAGCAAAGCAGAGCAGAGCAGCTCTAAAGAACGGGGCCTAAGGGCATGATGGTCCATTAATCGAAATGTTGACGATGATGATAAATTTTGTTGGCGGTATTTCACCTCCTAGATCACAATGCTGCAAGGGGTAGAAAATATAAGGAGTAGTTTTAAAATGAACAAAAAACATTAAATAAGTGAAACTGTGGAAAATACCATTGAATGCATTTTACACCAAGGTATAGATAATTTTTTTTACAAAATATTTGTTTTTATTTTTGTTTTGTGTTTTTATTTTTGTTTTGTTTTGTTTTGTTTTTTTTTTAATTTTTCTTAAGAAAAGTACTCTCTTGGTCCTAGAATATCTAAGACGTTGAACTTTTTTTTTACTATTCATGTATTCACTTTGAACATATTTTTTACTAACTTAATAAAAAAAAATATTTTATTCTAAAATATGTTGTTAAATAGGTATTAATATAAAATTTCATAATATAATCTAAAATAATTTATATTAATATTTAATTATATCATATAACTAATACATAAAGGTATTTCCTCAATATATATATATATATATATATATATATAAACTTTTAGCCAGGCACGAGACAATGACACTTGGCGCTTCTACTTTTCGCCAAGTGTCGCATCATGTAGGCAACAATTAATTATTAGTATGACACATAGGATATATTTTATATGAATAAAAAATTTATATTTTTAGGAAAATTGGCTGAAAATAATCCCAACTATTCAAGGTGGGTGTAAAATAATACGATCTCAATTATTTACTTTCAGCAATACCACCTTTTACAGTATGTGTGCAAAATGGTATGCTAGGCATCGAAGAAGGTATTTTGTGGAATATTTCTTCTATATTCATTATTTATATTATTTTTATACTCCATATTAATTATAAAATTTTGGGATGAAAATTCTTTTTGGTAAACTCTAACTTTTTAATTTTCTAAATAGTAAACGTTTTACAATTTTATTATCAATAGTAAACCTAAATTATTGATAACCATTGATAATTGTTATAGCGGATGCCTCCCAAAGTTTGTAAAATTCAGAAATAATTAAAAGATTAAATTGTTTTTGGCGGACCGCTCAAATTTTGTATTATTTTTGTCAATTTTTACTTAGTTTATTTATTTATTTATTTATTTTTTTAATAATTAAATTATATAAAAATATTTTTCAAAAAAAAAACCCCTCCCCCACCCAACCTAGGCACCAGCAGCCCCTCTCCTGTCGACGTCCACCAGCCATTTCTCCCCCACCAATGGTCCAACGCCGGAGCCCAGCTCCACCTTTGCCAGTGCGCTGACTTTCAATCCCCCACCTCCTCTCTTTCTCCCAATCTCGAACCCCCACCACCCCTCATTTTCCTCACCGCCCCACTACCGACCTCGACCCCACCCCAAACCACCGCAAAAACCAGCGTACCTCCTCGTTGACCCCCTTCCTAGTTAGCCGACCTAGAAACCCTTAATTCTTCCCCAAAACACCAGAAAATACCCAAACCCATTTAGGGTTTTGAAACCAAACCCAGCACACGGGTTGAGATTTTCTGGTGGTTTTGGGTGGGTTTTAGGGTTTCCATGGTCGACTCACAGAGGAGGGGGTTCGTCGGGAAAGGGTGCTGGTTTTCGTGGTGGTTTGGGGTGCGATTGGGGCTCGACGGGCAATGGTGGGGGAAATGAGAAAGATAGGAGGTGCAAGGCGTCGTCAACCAGAGTGGGGGAGGCTAGGCATCAGTGGTGCTGGTGGCTTGGTTAGGGGTTTGGGATTTTTTTTTTGGTTAATGCAGACCCTTTTAAAAAATTTCAAAAAAAAAAACTAACTATGATTAAATATCTAGTTAAATTTATCATTAATTATAGTTGACATAATATAAAAAAATTAGGTTTACTGTTGATAATTAAATTTTAACATGTTTACCACTTAGAAAATTAAAAAGTTGGAGTTTACCAAAGAGAATTTCCCTAAATTTTTTCAAAATACATACTCCATTTTTTTGTACAATAACACACTACTTTGACATGACATATGCTTTAAGATAGATATTAGACTAGACAAACAGTCAAATTAATTAACAATTTTTTTACCACCATTAAGAAGAAAGTGTTATGTCAAAAGAAGTGTTAATTTACTAAAATTTAAATCTATAGCATAATTTGTTCACTTACGTAATCTAATCAGTTTTTTAAATAACAATGTATTTAAATACCCTATTTACTTTTGTTTGATAGTAGAATTTTTTGTTTTCTTTACATAAATTAATTTACTAGCCTAACAATGGGGTAGGCATGAAATTATTAACATAAAATGTATTTTGAAAAAAAAATTATAATAAAAATAATATAATAGTGAATAAGGACGGAATATTTCTTAAAATGCCTTTTTCGGTGGCTGGCGTACTATTTTGCACAAATAATATAAAAGGTTGTACTGCAAATAGCAAATAGTTGAGGTTGTATTATTTTTCACATACTGTTAATAATTAGGATTATTTTAAGCCAATTTTTCTATTTTTTAATAGGGTAAAAAAAAACCAGGACAACATTTTAGGATAAAAAAAAGTTAGTTAAAAGTTTTAGGATAGATTTATAGGATAAAATTTGTTGTTTAGAATCTTATTTCCAATGAAATACCTATATTTTACGGGTACAAAATAAATTATAAGTTTAGCTAGATTATGAGACAACACTACTTGGCGTTTCAACTTTTTACCAAATGTCGCGTCACGTAGACAAAAATTAATAAATAATCAAATAAATATATTTTTATATCATAATTTTTTTTGGAATCAATGAATTAATTCAAAAAGTACAATATGCATTTATAATATATTCTAGTTGATTGAAATAAAATACTTCACAATTTAATATGATTTTAATACTTTAAATAGAACTGTCAATCTAGTCAGTTTACGAGTCGTTTCGGGCCAAGTCACGGGTCAAAAAATGTTCACACTAGCCCAAAGTTTCGGGTTCGTGTCAACTCAATAGGTTTAGATTAATTTTTTTTGTTTACTTTATTTTTGACTAATTTTTAGAAATTTCTAATATTTTAAGTTACTTTGCTATTTTATATTACATTTTTAAAATCAAACATTTTCACCAATATCATTATTATTAGTCATTGCATTTTTAATGCATAATTTGAATCATCACAAAATCACATCAATTCCTAACTAATCAATAAAAAGTTTATCTCAAAATTTAATAACAACCCAGACATTACATGGTAAACCAAACTAGTATAAAAATAAAGTCAAATTAATATATTGACATGTGTGCAAATTTCTGTGTCAAATATTGAGAAAGTAAATTGGAGGAGAAATAATCTGAAAGTAATAAAATTGGGTCTTATTAGTTGAGAGAAATGAATTAAATACAGAGGAAGTATTAAAAACGAAGGGAGTAATATTTTTCCAGTAAACAAGGGCAGGAAATGACAGAATTAAAAAAAAAAAAGTTCATCTACAGTAGTTTACGAGTTGTAACTTCGAACTTCGAACTCAGCTGCTGGCAGTTCTCGTATCATTAATCCTACAGAGCTCCACTCCACTCTCTCTCTTTCGCACAGACACAAAGATTAGAGAGTGATGAAGCCGTTAAGTTGGTGGTTAATGTTGGCGGGTTCATTGCGTTTAGCATCTGTTTGGTTCGGTTTCTTTGATATTTGGGCTCTTCGTCTTGCTGTTTTCTCACAATCTGACAGTAAGTTTTTCTTTTTGCTGATCTCAGACTTTTAATTTCATGCAATTTTTAATTTTACTCCTCGATTTTCATGGGTTCTGTTTGATTAATGCAGACCCTTTTAAGAGCTAATCATTTTTGAGATCTCAACCCATTTATTTTTTTCAATTTTCTACTGCATTATTGATGTAAGTTGTGTTAGAACTATTCATATAATTGATATTAATCGCAATTTCAAGAAATTATTGCTTTAATCGAGGTTATTATTGCTGATATTATATACGGAGTACCCAATTAATTCAATTATAATGTGGTGGAGATCCCAAAGTTTATGCATTGCTTAAACTGCGGATTATCTTATTTGATTGACTCCAGAAATCCTGTGGTTGTAAAATCTGTTTGCCGGCTGTTAAAAGAATAGTTCCATGTTATTTGTTTGATAAATATTGTGATGTAAGTTCAGAATTTAACTTGATTCCCTCTTTTATGATCACTAATTTGACCATGTTATGCTCATGCTGGACTTAATCTTCATTTTGATGGGTTATTAATGCTTTGCTTTTTAAATGAATCGCCTCGTTTTTATAACCGCAATCTTCCTTGCTTTTGTGATCCGTGCCTTGTGCAAGACTTGATTTGGTTTGGATGCAATGCTTCTTTCATGTTGTTCAAGTTGATTTAAGCCCTCTTTATGTACAAAATAACTAATATCCTGCAAAATGACATCAGTTTGTCTTCGAATATCTTCCGCGATGATGACATTGTTAATGCTTTGCTGATGAATATTGTCTCGTTTTCATCCCAAAATCTTGCTTACATTTGTGGGCTGCAAGAGATTTGATTTGCTTTTGTATTTGGATTGACATGTTGGATACAGTGTTTCTTTCATATTGTTCAGTTTATGCAAGTCCACTTTATAACATTACATCAGTTTGCTCCTCAACATCTTTGGTGACAATGACATTGTTTAGATACTTATTAAGTCAGCTCCTAGTATAGAAATAATGACCCAGTTTCGTTGATGCTCTTCTACTGTAAGAAGCAAGAGTTGTTGCAAAATGATTTCCAGAGGTGCTTCCTTTGTATTAGTTGATTAATCGATAATTTAGAATACATGATCATTTAGAGACATTATAAATTATAGAGGGAATGTTGGTGTAATTCAAAGCCACTTATTACACTCATGCTGATGGACATTCATGTAATGAAATTATCTTATGCTTCTTTTGAAAACCAATACAGTTGCCGATCTTTTGAGAGCTTTCTTTATAGTCATATAGTGTCTTATCTTTATTCTCTTTCGATTAGAGACATTACCCGTAAGGAAAGTAGAGGATTGGGATAAATCCAAAGATGACGTGGATCGAAGGAGTTAAGAAACCCCACGGAGAAGTTGGGTTTGTATGAGCATATAGCATTGTACATAGGGAATGAAAGGAGAGGATCACTATAAATGAGCACAAGAGATTAAGCCTTAGTTAGCCGACCCCATCTTTGAAATTGAGGCTTTAATTGTTGTTTTTTTAAAGACATTACTTTCCTAAATATGAAATAGATGTGCAATGTATGTCTTTGATAGCAAATATGGTACATGTATTAGTTTGGGGTCAAGAACCAAACATTTCTGAATTAGTAATAACTTCAAGGGGAGGCTTTGTTGGGTATGCAATCCAAGTCCCACTTGAAAAGAAATAAGAAAGTGATGACTTGCTTATTAGTGCTCACCTACTTCATTAGTATTAGGCCTTCTGGGAAGGTGATCAATAACAAATTTGTGCGGCCCAAAGCCGACAATATCATACTAATGAGGGAGTCAAGGTAAGCATGCAACATTGCAACCCAACAAGTTGGATGATCGAGGCCCAACAAATTTGATCAAAGAGAGAGTAATATTATTTATAATGCTGACTATGAGCTAATAGAAAACAAAATGTGGTACAAAATTTGAATATGCTGTTAAGGTCCTATTTCTGCTCCAAGTCTTTATAATGCTGACTATGAGCTAATAGAAAACAAAATGTGGTACAAAATTTGAATGTGCTGTTAAGCTCCTATTTCATGTGCTCCCAGTCTTTATAAAACAATGGTGTTTCAAGAATAAGAACAGAGGATTGAATATGCTGACAACCTTGTGTGTGTGCGTCATGAGTTTTCATCAATTTCTCACTAGCTTCATTCCTTGCACTCAGGCCTAATGGCTTATGCTACCTTACTGACAGGGATAACGGGATTCACTATTCATAACCAGGATCATTTCTAAAAAGGTTAAATCATGGACATGTTTCTAAAACGGATGGAAAACCTGAAAGATATTCTTACGCTGTTATCGAAGAAGAGAAAACTTAGAAGGATTCTTTAACTGTCTGTAAGTATATATATGTGGGAGTTGCAACTCTGAAGACTTTAAACATCAAAGTTGTTGCCACCTGCAAATAGAGCCCCTAAAAACTCAAAAATCCATATTCATTTTTGGGGGAGAAAATCTGTCTATACTTGATCATGCATTCATGCATCATTTTGACTTCACTCTTTGATTAATATTCTAGATATAAAGCTGAATCAATGATTTTCCAAACTTGTGTTTTGCAGTGACTGAAGTTCATGGGAGGACCTTTGGAGTTTGGACTCTTCTCACTTGCACACTCTGTTTTCTTTGTGCTTTTAATCTTGACAACAAGCCTCTCTACCTGGCAACATTTTTATCGTTCATTTATGCTCTTGGTCATTTTGTGACTGAATACCTAATCTATCACACAATCACGATAGCAAATTTATCAACTGTTGGCTTCTTTGCAGGTATAATTCGATTTAGCCTTGTCTTTCTTTGCTTTTATTTCATTTTTTGTGTACATAACAAGAATGAACAATAGTGCCTTGGACATTTTGTTCCACTTATGATCTAAAATGGGTAATCTTCTCATCCAGGCCACACATCCTTGTATTTTGGTTTTTCTCTGTATTTGCAGCATTCCTATGCACTTATGTTTGTAGAAAAAGTTGTCTAATCAACCTCTTCACTTTTTAAACTTTGAAGTAAGGTTCTTGATTGTGATATTGATATATTTTTCATTGCTATTGGCTTTTTAAAGATAACTTTTTGTATGGCCTGCCAGCTGCTGCACCCATGTTAACATACAGTAATATAGGAGAGGTCTCTCTATACATTTACAAAGCCTGCAATAAGGATTTGTAAACTTTGGATCCTTTAACATTGTTTGGGGACTAGAGTAGCCCACATAATGGGGTTTCTTTTATTTTTTTTATCCCTCCTTTTCCTATTTCTCCACTCCTTGGCATGTAATATGGAGCATTGGTGTGCTAACTATTAACTTTAAAGTATAGCAAGCATGCCGAGCATTGACACCCATATCATATGCTGGAAAACGGTAAAATTTTCAAACAAGCACTCGTGCCATACCCATTTGACATTTACCTATTAAGATGCAGGATATCTCAATTGACATTAATGTAGATTCTTGATTGTGAGAAACGTCTCTTGGTAGAATTATTTGTTAGGAAAGGACACAAAATTATTTTGTTTGATGATCACATACTGATTTAATGTCTGCTGACTCTGGAGTATGTTTTTTATAAATTAAGTTCATTTTACTATATTATCCTTTCTTTCACTATATGATTTTTTTTAGCTCATTTTTTTTTTTTTTAAAAAGGCGTCTCTCTTTGTATGATTCGTAGTTTCTATTAGATTCTTAAGCAGTTGTCTTCACATTGTTATTTTGTGCTATGTTGCCTTAGATGAGTTTGTCATTTTGTGAATGCTCAGAATTGGAAGACGTGCTTGGAATCAAACTTTGAAAAGTAAAACTGACCAGCCATCTTATGTTTAAGAAATATTTTGAGGTCATTTTTTCCACTGCCAACGATGCTTCAAGAATATGTAAGGTTTTAGCCTTACTATAGCTGTCTAAGTCCTTAGTATGAAGAATTTCTTAGGTTTTGTTTTTTTGGGTTGATTAAAAATAAGCACATGAAATGTACCGTGCTTATTGTGATTGAAGTGATGTGGTTTATCCTACTCAAAGGAAGTTCCCTCAGCAGAGGCATAGCAAATTATCTTTAGTAGTTGAAGCTTAAGGCCATCAATCACCTTTTGTTGTTATTTGCCTTTGCTATAAAGAGTTAAAACTTCTTTTAAGAAAAGAACTTCTAGAGCTTAAATGGTGTATGAACTGGTGTGGCGCAAGAGTTTAATAGAACTACTTTTTCAAAAGGAGATTCAAGTCCTTGTGCTTTGTACAACTACATAATAATACGTAGGACCGCTCGATTGGCACCCATTTAATTTTGCTTATCTGACTGAGAAAAATAAACTTATGGTTGACAACCTTTCTATATGTAAAAGCAGAATTATTTGTTAGTTAAGGATGAAGCTGTATATGGTTTTGTTTGATGATCTCTGCTGATTTTGTCTAGCTGGAATTTTGTACTTACCTCATAATTTAAGCCTTTTTTGCTCTCTAAGTATCTCTAACTGTGTTTCCCCATTTCTTTGGCTTTATGAATCTTATTTCTACTCAAGTTTTTTTTTTTATTTTTTTATTTTATAAAAGGGTTTCTCTTTGTTTCTATAATTCTTATTTTGTTTTAAAAATTTAAGCAGTAGTCTTCACATTGCGATTTGATGCTTTGCTGGCATAAATATGTAGTTGGGCTATATATTTTGTATTATTTTCTGTTTTCTTGTTGAAAAAATCTATGGCGTATGAGTTTGTGATTGCTCAAAATGGGAAGCCATGCTTGATATTAAGCATAGAACTTTGACAAACTTTCTTTTATCTCTCTGAAAGAGTTTGAGTTTAGGTCATATTTTCGATTGCCAATGCTGCATTTAAATCATCAAGATCTTAGTTAAAGCAGCAGTGCTTTTATACTCTATGGTGCAAAGTAGTTTCACTAGTATGTAATGTACCAGCCCGGAACAGTGTGATTAATTAATTATACAGACATGAGGCAAGCTTGAATATATTGATTGATTAATAGAAAGGTTAACAGGAAGGTTACAAGGATAGTAGAGTTCAGGCACTTCCGTCAGATACGAGATTGATAGCTTTAGGCTATTAATCTCAAGGTACCTTGAGGCTACTACTCTCAAGAGGTTTCTAACTCAATTTCTGGATATCCTCCTTCTAACACAGACTACACTACTTATACTCAAGATTGCTAATGGCCAAGCTGACCTTAAGGAATTACATGTGACTTACTTAGCCGATATAGAAAAACCATACACAAACATTAGTTAAGCTGCTTGCTTTCTTTCCTAAACTTCTTCTTAATTATGTTTGTCACCTTGTATAGAAATGCCCCTCGCTTCCTATTCTTGCTCTTGACCTTGCTGAACTTGGTGTTGACTCAGGTTCTTTCCCTTTCTCCTCCTCGAATAGACCAAAAGGGGTGGCTGACCGGTTTGAGTTGGGTTAGCCAACCAGTCTATAACATACTACCTCCATTTTTTTATTAGTTGACACGTTTTGACTTTAGCACTATTCACACATCTCCCTTTGACCATGTTTTGTGATCTATATGTATGGAAAAATATAGTCAAGTGGGATTTTGCTAGATTCATAACAATGTATATTTTCAAAATATCAACTTTATATAATTTTTTCTTATCGGTAATTAAAGATATTAATGATTTAATTTGTGCATTGACAAACGTGACTAAAAAAACGTGTCAACTAAAAAGAAACAAAGGAAGCAGTATTTTTGTCGGTCACACTCTTTTAGGTTAAAATGTGCTTTTTATGTTTGAAGTCAAACTCCAAAAGTTTATCCACAGTATATCGAAGCAAAATACCATTTATACTAGTTGAAGCTATGACCTTCAATCACTTTTCGTGATTAGGCAAAACAAGTGCGGGAGAAACGATTAAATTACTAGCTGGAAGTGTATTAGTGATCATAGGGGTATGAATATCTATATTTGAACATGCATAAAAGGCTGTCATTTGCCATTGCAACTAAATAATAAAACTTATACAACAAGATCTTTGAAGGCTTGAAATACACTTATTACTATGGGCCTGAAAGCTATTGATGGTGTATGAACACTTCTGCCTGAGGTGCGATCCTTAGAGTGTGATCGCCTTTGGGCAACTCAAGGCACTTCAGGTGCAAGATGTTCTCCTCTTTAAGAAACTGTGAGTTTCATGTATTTTCAATTCATGCTAAAATGGAATCACAATTCATTTACTACTAGGAATATTTTGTGTTGATTTTGGCTTAAAGCTTAATAATTTTCTTATCATTAAAAAAAAAAAAAAAAATTGCTTATATAACCTTTGTGTTGGCAAGCATGATAATGTATGTTCAACTCAAGAACTACTCACCATTTTTAGGTGGTTGCAAGACCAAAACACCTCAGACTTTTTTTGCTCCAGGTCTTATAACTTTAAAAGGACTTGTTCTCATTAGGTGTTTTGGTTTGAATTTTTCTGCTATGTTTGATTTGATATATTGTTTTGACTAATCTTTGACCTCATTTTTACACTAATGTATGAGAAAAAACGTAGTCAAGCGGGATCTTGTTAAATTTCTCATTGTGTACATTCCAAATATGTAATTTTCATAAATTTAATAGATGAAATAAAAGCTATAAGTTAATTTGATATGAATATATTTGGTCTGATTTGAGTTTGTCTAAGTTCCTGAAATAATTTGAATAAAACAATTTCTAAAATACTTTCCTAATAATATGGCTCTGATAAGCAACAAATTTTCATGTAGGTTCTACAATTTTGGCCAACTCTGAATCTGTTAAAGTTGAAAATTAGTGTATAAAGTATAGGATAGTTTCTTGTGGAAGTGGATGAATAGAGCTCTTTGTTCTGTAACTAACCAACTAGTTTTACTGAGCATTTGCCAAATAAAAATTTTAAGAGCTAATCTCTAACAGCCGACAACTAATAGTGCGGTACAATGGCTAATCTGTGATTGTACCACACTAGTATTTTTGAACACCCCTACTAATCACTAGTATAAATACTATTGCCATACGAGTATACGACCAACAGGCCCTAAGCCCCTCAGTGATGTTTATATACTTCGTAAGCTGAGAGGCTTCAATTTCTGATTAAACAACCTGATTTGGACTCTCTGTTGGGTTGAGTTTCAAAAGACTATGTTTGATACTTGAGTGTTTTTTCCAGTCTACTTTCTGTATCCACCACTTGGTTACACCCTCAAAACTGTATTAATACAATGGCCTTCACCCCACAAATATGTCCTGTACTAATAAGAGGACGAGATTCTAAACAGCTGAATAGTTCAGGGTCAGATGACACTCATACTTATAGTTGTCATCCTGCCTAAGTATGAAGACTAGAAGATTTCATGCTTGACATACTGTGGTACATATCGTTCATTCGTGCGTGCTTGACTTAGATTAGAAGATGCATAACTCACCTGTTGCAACACTTGTAATTGCTTTTTTTTTTTTGCATTACTAATATTAAATAGATGAAATGGGTCATTTTGTGAGAATTGACCTTTGTTTTATTCAGGTACTTCTATAACATGGATGGCATTGCAGTGGAATGCTCACCAAAAGATGTCTGTGAAGCAAATGTAAATCTGATACGAGATTCCAGCTTGGTGTTTTCTAGAGCTGGGGAATATCCTGCAATTTTTATCCATCTCATTTCATGATTTATTCTGGGGCATTGGCTTATGTTATTTTACAGCACTGCGCACATAACTTCAACAAAATTTTCGTGTACGGTTTGAATCATCAGATTTTGGAGTGACCAGATCAATGCTATTTTCTTACTCGATGGTCTCAAATGTATGATTGAGTTGTGAAGCCTTGACGCCTTGTTACTTGTTGACAATTACGTAGCAGATTATATTTCTGATACTCGCAACTGGATGTCTGTTTACTTTCCTTTGCTTCTGGTTCATGTTCATTTCTCTGCGTCCAACTTTTGCATTTTCAATTACAAAGATCTGTGTAGAGTCTTTCGTGTAGACGGTTTGGTACAGGCTTGTGTTGATACGGTTACATTTGAAGGGGGATCTGTGTAGAATTAGCTTGACATGTTGAAGCCTTGAAGGGGGTTTGTGTTATACGCTATAGCCTATGGGGAAGCATCAGGTGGAAAAAAAAAAAGGGTCTTAAGTCTCTTAACGTTGTGCCTTAAATTTACCACATTTTAAAAGCTTTGTAACTTTTGATTGTGAACTTGAAATAAGACATGTAATATATATATATAGTTGGAAAGCATTAGAAGTCTAATTTCTAAACCAATTAGATCAATGTCTTTAGAAGGTTTTAAGATATGGCTAAGATAATACGAGGATGTCGGTTTTGGGTCTGATTTAGTATTTTATATCTCTTTCGTTTTACTCGAAATTAGGCTTATGATATATTATTAGAAAGGTTTGGCAATGTGTGTGTGGGGGGGGGGGGGTGCCAATAAGTGGTTTAAAAAGGCACCGGTTCAAACCGGTGCCAAAACTTGGAATTGGCATCGGTTAACCGGTGCCAAAAAATCCCAAAAAAATTTTAATTCACTGTTTTTGGCACCGGTTAACCGGTGCCAAAAGTGCCAAAAAATTAATATATTTTTTTTACTTAAAAATTAAATAAACTAAAATTAAATGAGAATACAAAATATAAATCGAATATCACAATCAATATAATCAAATCTGTTCAATATATATATAATAAAAAAAATTTACAGTATAGATCAATAAAAAAATTACAACATATAAATCAAAATAAAAAAACTTACAACATATAAATAAAAAAAAAATACAATATAAATAAAAAAAATAAAATTTCAACTTCACAATAAAAAAAAACCCATACAACATCTAAATCAATATACTTGCATCTTGATTCTTCGATTTAAGATCTAAATCCATATACCTGCACCAATTAAAACAACCAAAATGAATCAAAACATGATTTAGCTGCGAAAAAATATAAAAAAACCCAGAAAATCGAAAAAAAAAAGAAAATCAGTTCAAAAACCCAGAAGAAAAACCTAGAACATCAGTTAAAAAGAATTGAACCTAGAAAATAGTTAAAAAGAAAATCAAAAAATAAAAATATAAAAAAAAATCCAGAAAAAAATCGATTAAAATAAAAACCAAAATCGAAAATCAGAAGAAAAAAAACCTAGTAAATAAAAAAATTTCGAGAGAAAAATCCTGAAATTAAAAAAAAATTACGAATTAAAATAAGTTTAAAAATTGATTAACCAAACCAGAAAATCGAAAATCACTTAAAAAAACAAAATAAAATCGATTAAAATAAAATAAAATCGATTAAAATAAAACAAAATTTGAAAATAAGTTAAAAACCTAGAAAATAATAATAAAAAAATCGAATTAAAATCAAGAAATTATACCCTAACCTTGCTCATGCATGTGTTCGTGGTGGATTAAACCAAAAAAATTTCGAAGAAACCCATAAAAAATTTCGAAGACACTCATAAAATCAATCAAACCCAAAATCAACTTCGAACAAACCCAAATCGACTTGTATTAACCCAAAATATTCAACTTCGAACAAACCCATAAAAAAAAAACACCCAAAAACGCATGCATTAACCCAATGATCGATTATTGTAACCGAAAATTAACCCAGAAATCGAAAAAACAATGAGGAAATCGAGTTACAACATCGAAATTTGTGGTGTTGATGTTACGGTGGTGGCAGCGGCTATGCAGTGTTGTTGTTGTTGTTGTTGCGGTGTTGTTGTTGTTGTTGTTGTTGTTGTTGCGGAGATGATCGAAGAGAAAGAAAAGAGATTGGGAAGGAGAGATCGAGAAGGAGAGCTAGAGGAGAGAGAAAGGAGAGTAGAGGAGAGAGAAGGGAGAGGAGAGAGTAAAGAGGTGGAGTGAGAGGAGAGAGAAGGACCAGGGCGTTTTTTAGGGTTATAAGTAACGAGCCATTTTTTTTTTAATAATTAAAAGGTCCAGTTCACAAAGGCACCGGTTCAAACCGGTGGCCTTTATGTTTTTGGCACCGGTTTGAAGTGGTGCCTTTTATTCTGGTTCAGCTTCTCACCAATTTTGTAGGCCATTTTTGGCACCGGTTTGGACTGAACCGGTGCCAATTAGGGGGGTGCCTTTTTGATATTTTCTACTAGTGCTAAGATCACTCGAAATCCCACCTGTTGGAAGTTCTTAATGTAAAACAAGAGAGTTAGGAAAAAACAAAGAGAGAGAGAAAAAACAAATGAAAGGATAAAGTCCCACATTGGTTGGGGAAGAGTGTTTTCCCTTGTTTTTATATTGTAGTGCTTTAGCACTACTTAGTTGATTGAGTGGGAGGTGGGTGTTATACCACACACACGTGCGCGCCAGGTCGGGCTCGGGCCTCGTGGACTTGGGGTCTTGGGGAATGCGATGCGCGGGCGTGGGTCCCTCTTACTTTTTTGGAGAAATTTTATTTCCTTTCATTGTTGACAGAATATTCCTTTTTGACTGTTGGGATTTCCTAACTGTTACGGAAATTAATCAGCCATTAATCCCTTGATTATAGCTGACTTTTTCTTGACTGACCGAGTTCATCTGGACAGTTTCTTGGCTAGGTTCTTCCCTTGTTTTGTGCTAGCCGTTTTCATTTGCTGCCTATATATACTTGGTTTTTCCTTCAGCAAAAATACACAACAATTCCAATATTCTCTCTTCTCTAAAATATCTAAACACGATTTCTGTTCTTCTGTTTTCTGGGAAAGTGTTCTGAATTCCAGTTGGTTTTGGAAGTGCACATAAACTCCGGCACCGTACTTATCCTGGACGGCGACCGCTTCTAGTCTACTGCACCGGGAGGTAGCGCGGAATCGTCTTTTAGGTCAGTGGTTCTCCACGACACGGCTACTGTTAGTTTGGTTCACGCATCAAGAGATAAGTAATTTCTATTTTATTGCTTATTAGTATAACAATTTAAAAGACAATTATGGCTTCTAAATTTCTGATTCTTGATATGTCTAAGTTAGAACCTTTTGATGGAAAGAATTATAAACGTTGGGCTGTAAGATGCGTTTTTATTTGGAGCAAATTGATGTTGCATATGTTGTTGATGATATTGTTGAACCTGTTGATAAGGATGGTTTGTCTGAAACTGATGTTAAGTTTGCTAAGGATGATAGAATCTGTAAGGGCATGTTGTTGAATTATATGTCGAATAATCTGTTGGATATTTATATGGGTTTTTATCATGATAAGGATATTTGGGATGCTTTAGAGAAAAAATATGGGACTGATAATGCTGGTACTAAACGTTATTGTGTTATTATTAAGTGGTTGAGTTTTCAAGTTGTTGATAATAAGACTATTATTTTTGATTCGATTCATGCTTATGAGAATGTGTGTACTAATATGGCTGCTAATGGTCTGTCTATTTGTGATACTACCCTTGCTATTGTTTTGATTGAGAAACTCCCCCCCTCTTGGAAGGATTTTCGTAACCAATTGATGCACAAAAAGAAAGACCTAACCTTAGAGGAGCTTATAGGTTACCTCAAAATTGAGGAGGAAAATCGTATAAAAGACAAAGGCCCTTCTGTTTTCCTTCCTCTTCTTCTGCCAAAGCCAATCTTGTTGAACCTAAACAAAACAACTAACCAGTCTAAAGTCAAAAATAGTTCTCCTAAACCTAAAAGGAAGGTTCAGAAGTACAAGTTTAAGGGTACCTATTTTGAGTGTTGTTTTACTATTCACAAGGCTAAGGATTACAGGGTTAACAAGAAGAATAGGCAAAGTCAAGCAAATCTATCGAGGATTTTGACGTTATCGTTGCTGTTATTTTAGAAGCTAACCTTGCAGGTAATGCTGCTAGTGGATTGTTGACACTAGAGCTACCAGGCACATCTGCGCCAACAAGGACATGTTCACTACCTATGACAAGGTTGAAGGTGAAAATGTCTTCATGTGCAACTCAGCTTCTGCTTCTATCCAAGGCAAAGGGAAGATTTTCTCACTCCCACTTCTGGAAAATTGCTTACACTCACTAATGTTTTGCATGTTCCAGAAATACGCAGGAATTTAATTTCTGGCAGTTTGCTCATGAAAGCTGGGCTAAAGCTCTCTTTTGATTCTAATAGATTAGTTCTTACTCGCAATGGGGAATTTGTGGGGAAGGGCTTTTGTAATGGGGGCTTTTGTAATGCGGGGCTTTTTACTCTTGATGTTAAAGTTGACACTATGAATAAGAATGCTAGTACTTCTTCTGCTTATATTGCTGAGTCTTGTGTTGAATACCTTTCACGTCATTGATTATCGAACAAAGTGAAAGTGTGAAAAGTCTTGTGATGCGGTTGTTTTAATATAAAAATATCTTTATTTTTATTTTCAAAAATGTACTCTATAATGTTATTCCCAATTTAGTTTGATCCATGATAATTGTGTAGTTGGATGGGGCTCAAAAAGAGCTTTCCAATGATATATTATAAGCCCAATTTCGATGAATAATGAGGAAGTTATGACCAAAATACTAAATTGGGCCTAAAATGGTTTTATATGGCCCAATGATAAAGTGGAGGGCTATTAATTAATATTCCTAAAATTATTAGGATTGATTTTAATCTTCTAGAATAATCTAGAAGGTTATTTTGAGTTCTACTGGAATTAGGATTAGTAATTATATTAATAGAAAATAAAGAATTCAATTTAGATTAAAACAAGTGTTTTAAAAAGATTAAATCTGATTTTTAAAGATAAGTACAAACTTTAATTAATCTAATTTAATTAGATTAAGGATTCCGTACGGATTTTAGAAAACGCGTGAACCATCGCGAAATGACGAAGCTGTCGCGCCGCCTTGACCTTGTCGCGCTGCGACAGAGGTAGTTGTATTTTAGATTGAATTCGGTCTTTTTCTGATCGTTTCCGGACTATTTTTCTTATAAATAGGTTCATATTTCCCCGTTTTAATCACTAACAATCATATATTATTCTTTCTCTTCTC